TAGTTTATGCCTAGTTATCAATATATTTTTGTATATTTTTAGAAATCGGGATTTAAAAAATTGTAAAACATTGTATTTTAGAATAGATGCAAGAACACAACGCAATTGGTTCAGTTGGACCATAGATTAGGTAACGTTTTTGTTTTGTACATACATTTCATTTTAAGCATGACTGAATGTTTACAGCTATAAAACACCTAATGAAATAATGAATTAAACAATAATGACATAAAGCAAAAAATGTTATACAATGTGACAAAAATATGACGACAATATTTAAATGATAGATAATGAAAGTTGCAAAGGAATGTTTTGACAAGAGACCTCTTGCCAATGTCAATGTCACAATATTGAGAACAGTGTGACCATTTGTTGCAAATTTCTGCCAATTGTAAGATTTAATTTTTATTCATTTTTATTGCTGCAGAATATGATAAATGAAGGGAAGGAATGAATATTCGGGACTTTTTTTAAAATTTTTGTGAATAAACTGAAAACTTGTTGTTTTCTGCTACTACGAACAAACATCTGAAACGAAATACAGGACAATTTTATAAATATAACCTACATCAACTTTATAACCGCAGCTTCTACAAGCTGTACTCAATTAGCTTGTTTGATGCTTTGATAATGAATCACAAGTAGTTATTGATAGGTCTCCTCTATGCGCGTCGTCAAAAACACGTTACAAAATACACGGGATGTCGCCATCCATCTTTCTTTGCTCAGTTTTGTGTAGAACTGGCTAACAAAAATCCCAACTATCCTGTTTTTCAGGTAATATCCACCTAGAAAACGGAGTCTTCTTAAAAAATATATGTTTACCGTACATGATGTGTACCAGACGAGTTATTGAAACAAAAATAAAGCAGTCATACACTACGCTACCTTTCTTTTATTAAAAAAAACCGACCTCAGAAGGTCGTGGAATCTATCTGCCACGTTTGATTGAAATCGGTTAACCGAAAGTACGCGAAACCGGATTTATCCCTTAGTTTGCCGCCCTTAGAGGTGGAGTATTTTCTTCAAACATTAAATGGGAACAATACTGAGGTACACTCTTTCCAACAAAAACAGAATTATCAAAATCAGTTCACAAGTGCCCGGAGTTACCATGTAACAAACATACAAAATATACAGTCGAACTGAGAACCTTCTCACATTTGAGTCGGTTAAAAATAAGTGCGCATTTGACCTCCATTTCCCCTGGAGGAGCAAACACACCCAAATAATGTCTAATCACTCTTGCATTGAAAAGGAATATATTAAACCGTTCATGGACCGAGTCTGCAGGCAGGGAATTCCAATTGTGTACACGGCGCGCGGCGGGCTTGCTCACATTCAACCCGCGCTGCTTCGTTTGTTTGGAATTACCCTACTTATTTAACTATATCATACTTTTATGGCGCTGGATAAAAACACAACGCTTAATTTCGCTAATGCAGCACCACCTATTTTGTCGTTCCTTCCTAAATACCATAAGAATTATTGCAGGAAAGGACAATAGAAACCATTTTACAACAGCGAATTTAATACATAACAACATAAATATCAAATAAGTTTTATTGCGGGATTCTCTTCCAGTACTTTTTCTTCTTTTTGTTTATGATAGATTTGTTCACGCTATACGAATATTACAAATTTTCCGAAAAATTGGAAAAATATAATTTGGAAGGCTCGTATTAAGTTCTATGTTTAAAAATATCTTTTGAAGTTTTATTTAGCGTGAATTTATATAAAATAAACTTGCACATATGCATATGATTTCACAACAGCGAAACCTCCAACAATTACTCCATCGCCACTTGTTGATGGCTCGTTTTTATTCAGTAACTTCGTCTTTTGACAGCTGTCAAATGTGGCAATTTAAAAGAGAAATATGCGGAAAAATATTTATTTCTCTGAAAAATTTTTTTTTTTCAAAATGGAAAATTTTCCATGACCAACACTAACGAAGACTAAGGCCAACTGTATCTCGAGAAGCTGAGTTGACGGTCAGTCCGCCTAAAAATAAATTACAAGAAAATCTGTTTCAACATAATGTATAATTATTTTCAATAATTTACCAAATAAAATTAAATTGTTACAAGGACATACTTTCAAATTACAATTGACAAAATGGCTTTTGACACATTGCTTCTATAATAATAAAGACTCCTTAGAATAACACTATGAACACTAAGATCTGAAGGGCACTGCCAATGCGCCCGTCACCCTGAGGCATAAGTTAACAAGTCCTATGTACCTGTAATTTGACCAGCACCCTTACCCTTCAAAACCGGAACGCAGTCATGCTCACATTAATGCTTGGTAGTTACAGAAGTAGGTAAGGTGGCAGTATTACCCTAGACGAACTCTTTCATAAAAAGCTCTGCTGCTTCTAATGTGTATAGAATTCCTGCGAACTTTCCCAAAAGGCGTATACAGTTAGATGAACAGTTTTTTCTTATCTTTTTCTCTACATAACTGAAGATACTACAAACAATTTTATTTAAAGCAAATGAATATATGAATGTTAATGAAGACAAATATACTTCTTTTTATTCACGGCATTTTAAAAATATAAAAACTAGGAACTTCATAGCAGTAGCATAAAAAAAATATTTTTATGTGCAGAAAGTGTAGTGAACAAACGGAACTTTTCTAATAACTTTAAGTCCATGAAGATCAGGCGCGAATCCAGAATCCAGAGTAGTATAATGCGTCTTCACCAGTACCCATTCCAGTGTTCGCATGGGTCAGGAAAAAATTTTAATTTCCTTCTTGACAAAAGATGGTCGAATGAACTATGCAAAATTCGTTTAACAAATTTAAAGTAACTCCGTAAAATGGCGGATGGCTTACGACCAATGTGAAGGGCGACCATTTTTTCCAATTTACAACAAAAGGACAATGGTCAATACCTATTGCTAACCGAAGAGAGAAATGGTTTCACAACAAATATCAACGTTATTATTATTAAAATATTATAAAATCTCAACACGTCTGTTGGATTCTTGTTTATAGCGGACTGTAGATGGATTCGGTCCTATGTCCTGTGAAAGTTTGTTTGAATATCGACCAAATCCATCTACAATCCACTATAAACAAGAATCCAACATTGGTCCTTCGAGCCGGATAGAAACTTATATTAACATTGGTCCTTCGAGCCGGATAGAAACTTATATTTGCTTGAATTTTACACTGTTAATTTACAACGTTCATACGAGGATAGTCAAAGTAAAAAGTATACCAAAACCATAGATAAAATCTATCATAAAGTTTTGTCGCCATAAACACATCGAGTAATGCTACAGTTTTCAATGCCGGCTACAAAATTCATTTATTGACATCCTAAAAAGGGTTAGGTACACACGACAAGATCAACCATGTGCGAAACAAACTGTCGTCATTACCACAGATTACTTAATAGTTACTACGCAACAGATTCATCACTGTCATACAAAACCGAAAATACCTTCGCTATAATAGCCTACTAAAGGTAAGCGTCCACAGATCCACGCATCGAACGGATCGCATCAAACGGCTCCGTTTTTGGCAGTGCATCCACTGTATCCGCAGCAATCGGATTGCCGACGCAACTACTAGTCGGATTACCGAAGCCACTTTTGGTAACGAGCGCACGAGTTTAACTTGTGTGTCCGAGACAATGAATTTGGAAATTGATGAAGAACAATTTGTCGTGATGGCTTGTTTGTTGGCAGAAGAAGAAAGAAGATAAAAAAAAATAAACATGATATCTGGATATATGACATATTCAAGCGCGCATGAGGTGCGTCCACTGATACGCAATCCGTATGACGTCGTCGGCACGCATCTGAAAAATTGATCCTCCGAGCAACTGCGTCGGCATTACCGACAGGCCGGTGCGTGCGATCCTTGCGATGTGGATCTGTGGACGCCTGCGTTAAATCTGACCAATGACACCAGGCGCTCACTACAAGGAAAAAGGAACCTAAGCACGCGCTCTGAGAGGTGAAAATAAAGTTGCCCGCCGTGTGCAGTCTTGCAGAACCGAATGTTAATTAATGAAAGACTTGTATGAGCGTTTGTATCGACGTCGATACACTGATCGGTAGGCACTTATGGCGTAAACTTGAGCGAGTGATGGACCCCTATCATTGCACAATACTTTCAAATTCGGCATCAATGTTTATTGCAGAAAACTTATTCCTAGAAATGTAGCTTATTGTGTACTTGTGATGTCAAATACAAATATTATTCATACAAAAGGAACTGGAGGAGGTGCGTAGTCCTCTCGACATAAATGATCGAGGCGTGACTAGCCCCGCTCCTGGGGGTCGATTCAGAAACTTACGATAACTGAGTTGTCGACCGATTCGATTTGAAAGCGTACGATTTCTTTTCATTTTTATTCACAACACCCGAATCGAACGTCAAATTATCGTATTCGAAACCGAACTGCAATGACGTCACACCCGTACAACTACTCGAGTTCTCGACCGACAAAGGCTACAAACGTCATTCAGAACACAGTTATCGAATGAAAGTTATCGAACGTTCTATTTTTTACAAAGCAAAAATGTAATATAGAAATCTCTTATTATTTTAAGTGGAGTATGGATTTTTTTGAATTTTATTAATTTATTTTAATGCAAGATTAAATTCCTATATTTTAGGCCATTCAAGTCATAAATATGTATATAAAAGGATTTTCATTTTTCTTATAATCTATTTCACCGATTAACGCCGTAAACGCTGTTGATAACGATATCGTATCTTAACGTTTAAAGCTAATGTTCTGAATAGCTCAGAAAGCGCCTTTCGATTCGAGAACGACATCCAGCCGATGACGAAAATATCGAAGAGTTCTCAATCGAGGTCCTGGTGCCATTTGTCGAAATTTGTTTTCATATACTGAACATACTTATTCAAATCAAACTTACACTCGAGTTATTACAATTGTTTTTTTAAACCATATATAAGTAAATAACAATGATATAATAATAGAATAATAAACATCATTTAAAGAAACGAACTTGGTATAGTCTGCACCTCCAAACACAATCGGTACGGCGAAGTTCTTTGTGGCAATTAATATTTTCTCCGTTACGTAATCTTCGCACATTGCATTCTCAAACGCCAAGTAAAAATAATGAGTCGATGAAATCCATTTATGACAAATTTCTTTCGAATGGGTGCCGTTTGGTGTGTTCCAATAGCTGCATGGTGTAATCTCTTCGTAGGGGTAAACACATCGTTGGGAGCCAGTTGTCATGATACTAAGATTGTAGCTTTCCAATTCGGTTACTAATTTTACAACAAAATCTTCACGATTGTTAACTGTATGACAATGTGATACCAACCAAATCGCAGCTTGGTTTTTACTTTGCAATTTTCGTTTAATTTCTTCACCGATTGGTTCCATATCGCTAACATCCATCCATTTTACGTCGTTTTTAGGTACTATAACTTTATTGTCTGTCTTGTTTCTTACCACAAAAAATCTCCACGGGACATCTGAATCTAGTTTATATGCGAAAGTGTAATTGAAAAACCCGTCATAAACAGCTGAAATTGAATACATTTCAGGAGGTTCTCTACCGACGAAAATATATTTCTGTTCTTGTGATCGGACGGGTGGGATGACTGACGTCGGGTTATCATTGAAGATGTCAATTGAATAAAACAAAATTACGTCGAAATGCAAAACATCATTGAAATGTGACCTGTTATAGGTGAAGAAACAATTTTGAAACCTGCAATTTTTATTAATCAAGTATTGCTGTCCCGGAGCTTTGTCAAATGCATATATTCTATGCCACGAAAGGACATAAATTAAATTTTTTTCGCTTTCTGCTACGTAAAAATAAAATACCAAAACGATCATATTATTCAAAATGTGTCTGCTTCCTGCTGCATTCATTTTTTATTGATATTTTTAAATCTAAAATTTTTCGATGCGTATGATCTCTTTCGACGAACCGTTAAGACTACCTTTATCAACAAATTCCACGTTTTATATCAATCAGAGAAAGAATGCCCCATTGTTTGTACCACATATTATATTTGTACCATACTTAACGATTAGGTACCTATTGTTACAAAAATAGCGTGCTTATCCATGAGTATATTCGTTGTACGCCGATGGCAGGCTTCATCAAACCTGGACTTTTCTGAGGGCAGCGAAACAAACATAATCAGAAACGGCTCTGCCCATTACCAGTTAGCAGCCTTGGACTCGGTGAAGCGAAAAGCAAAGAGACTTATTAACAACAATTCTCTTGTGGAGTCGAAACTACAAAATCTCGACCATCGCAGAAAAGTAGAGTGCTAGAAAGTGAGTGATTGAGAGAGAGAGAGTGAGAGAGAGATTGAGAGTGAGTGATAGAAAATCAACAAGATTTTTCTATCGGATACATTTCGGGGAATGCGCGCAGGAACTTGTCAATTTAGTTCCACCCTCATCGTTCCTCCTTCAGTCGATCAGAAGGTCCGAAACACTCCATCCTTATATCGTTCATATACCACCAATTCGCACTAAGTGTTTTCCTCCTTTCTGACGCGTGCGGCAAGGGAATGGAATACTCTACCGACTTATCTGTACTTAACGTACAATTTGGGGCTATTCAAGGCAAGAGTGAATAGGCATTTTTTTAGGCAAACGCTTTCCATCGTCGGTCACATCGTCGTTTAACATCAGGTGAGATTGTGGCCAAGCGTGTGTCGTTTATACCTTGTTGTCAACATAGTAGTAAAGCTCCTTGTGAAAGAGTTCTTCCAGGGAAGTACTGCCACCTTACCTATTTTTGCCGCCAAGCAGTTATGTGAGCATTACCTACTGCGTTCCGGTTTTGAAGGGTAAAAGTGCTAATGAAAAGGTTTAAAGTTCTGAGTGGCACTATACCTGGTATGGATTGACGTGTAGCTTACATTAGGCGCACGACTTGTTCGTCACGTCCCTTGTTATTATAAAAAAAAAAAAATTTCATAAGAAAATTTTCTAAAATTTGGAAGTGAAACTATTTAGGTCCAATCCTCAATATCGCAGTCCAATGCGGACATAGGCCTCTCCTGTTGCGCGCTATTATGCCCGGTCCCCAACTCGCCGCATCCATCTGCTGCCAGCAGCTTTTCGCAAATCGTCACTCTATCTGACCATAGGGCGTCCTACACTACGTTTGCCGAGCTGTGGTCTCCACTGAAGACAATGATTATATTATTTATTATTATTATATAAACGTAAGTTTATTATATATGTATCATAAGTACGTTTATATTATGTTATATATTTTATACCATACAAGTTATTGATTAGCTTTCACGAAGTGTAGTACCAACCTATTGTTTTTTTTTTCTGTTTGGCCCAATGGTTGACTGGTAGGGAATGCCTTAAGGCATTAAGTCCGCCATTTATACTTCAGTGTATTGTACTATAAACCTTTTTCTTCTTCTATAGTAACCAAGTTTATGATAAATTTATGATACCAAATGATGATACCAAATTTATGATATTTAACTGCCTCTGTGGCCGAACGGTTACCATGCCGGACTGCCACGCAGAGGTCCCAGGTTCGATTCCCGGGCCGGGAGAAATATTTGTATGGCCTACATTTATTTCTCTCGTGAGTTTGGGTGTAATTTGTGGTTGTCTATGTGTGTGTACATGGCACCCGCGACACAGGGTTTGCCTAGTGCAGGGCTATGTTGAGTGTGTGCGTTATTATTATTGTTATTATTATTATTATTCAATTATTTTTAGGTGAAATTACTCCACTAGCTTGCTGTGGCGAGTCGTCCATATAACTCTATTTTTACCGGGTTGCCTAATATTTTCCACGCATTATCAAATACTAAATTTTATGTGTAGAATAAGTTAACCAGCGAAATGAAGTACACTAGTACCTTGTGTGCTAATAAGTTGTGTTATAAGTGTCGGCAAGGCACCACTTTTTCTTAAGAGAAGTGCTTTTTATTTTGCTCCGGTTATACTAACTACAATTGTCACGTCTCGCCACGTGGTTTGCACTTTATAACAAACTACTAGTTTGACCACACCGCGAACGAAGCTAATTTAACTTAGCTAGTATTCTGTACCGCATACAAAATAATGGACATAATTTCCTTAACGACTGTGTGACATTCAGTTGTCAACCGGTGTTCAAAAGATTTTAAACCATTCTTTAAGCAACAATTAAGCTCCTTGTCAAAGAGTTCTTCCAGGGTAGTACTGCCACCTTACCTATTTCTGCCGCCAAGCAGTAATGTCAGCATTACTGTGTTCCGATTCTAAAGGAAAATGGTGCTGGTGAAATTACAGGCACAGGGAACTTGTCAACTTATGTCTCAGGGTGACGGCCATAGTGGTAGTTCCCCTCAGATCTTCGCAAATTAAAGCTCTGAGTGGCACTGTAACTGTTAAGGACAGACGTGTAGCTTACCATCAGGCTCTCGACTTGTTTGTCCCATCACTTGATGTTATAAATAATCTCAGTACAGACAACTAAAAAAACCGACCTCAAAAGTAAGTGGAATTACGTCTATTTGCTAAGTTTTATTGAAATATCCCCTAGTTCGCCACTATACAGGACTTGACACTGGAGATAATAAAAATCGGTTCTTACTACTCAAAGTATATTGAAAGAAAAACGCCTTGAATTGGAGAAATAGCAAAATCAACCATTAAAGTAATTGCTCCTAAATTAAAGTTAGGCGCTATTTATAAAAATGAATCTTCATGTGTGAAGAGCCACCATTCGAGGTGGATGCTTTTCTTCAAAATGAAATGGGACCACTATGGAAGTACCCCCTTTCCAACAAAAAAAGAATCATGAAAATCGGTTCACAAATACCGGAGTTATCGCGAAACATACATACAAAAAAAGAACATACAGACGAATTGAGAACCTCCTCCTTTTTTGAAGTCGGTTAAAAAACGTACTCGAAACAAAATAGAGTAATCGAAGGCTGCACATTTTGAAAAGTAAAATACTCGTGATGTCGTTTTTGTTTTTTGAGTTTCATAGGGGGTTCGCGCGTCAAGAAACTAGAACAACTGTTCAGGCTAGCTCTGGACAAAGAATGATATAGGCAACTGACTGCCGACCTTCAATAATGAAAAGGCACTTGAAGAAGAAGAAGACGAATAGAACCGCTACCGTTTTATTATGTCACAGATCTTCAGAACAAGTCGTCTATATCATTCAGAACAAGAAGCACTGACTTTTTTTAAATACTACAGAAGAAGATTAAGTTTATTTCCCTCAGAAAAGCGCAGATTTTGATTAACCCTACCGTCGATATACGGCTAATGTACATAAGGCTGCGCACGCTTGTAGCAATAGATCACTAAGCATGGCGCCAACAAAGGACAGCATTCTTTCCTTAATTGATATAAAACGTGGAATTGCTTTGTTAAAAGCAGTATTAACGGTTCACTGAAGGAGATCATTGACGTCTAAAGAGACCACATTAAAAATATATTTTATTAAATTAAAATGAATATACCCGGAAGCAGATACATTTTAAATAACATGTTCGTTTTGGTATATTGTTTTTATGTCGCAGATAGCGAAAAGCATTTCATTTACATCCTTTCGTGGCATAGGACAACTACGTTTAACGTATCCTCAGGAGCGGAATATTTCATTAATAAAAATTGCAGATTCCAAAACTGTTTCTTCACCTTTGACAGGTCACTTTTCAACGATATTTTGTATTTCGACGTAATTTTGTTCAATTCGATTGAAGTTGCCAATGATGACCCGAAGTCAGTTATCCCACCTATCCGATCACCAGAACAGAAATACATTTTCGTGAGTAGAGAACCCCCTGAAATCTACCCTTTATCGTCAGTTTATGATGGATTTTTCAATTACACTTTTACATATAAACTAGATTCAGATGTCGTGTGGAAATTTTTTGTTGTAAGAAACAAGACAGACCATAAAGTTATAGCACCTTCAACAAAGGCTATCAATTGGATGGACGTTGACGATATGGAACCGATTAGTGAAGAAATTAAACGGAAATTGCAAAGTAAAAATCAAGCTGCGATTTGGGTGGTAACACATTGCCATACAGTTAACAACCGTGAAGATTTAGTTGTAAAATTAGTAACCGAATTAGAAAGCTACAATCTTAGTATCATTACAACGGGTTCACAGCGGTGTATTTATCCCTATGAAGAGCTTACACCGTGCCGCTATTGGAACACAGCGGAAGGCACCTTTGCGCGCGAACCTTGTTATAGATGGATTTCTGAGACTCATTACTTTTACTTAGCATTTGAGAATTCAATGACCGAATATTACGTAACGGAGAAAGTGTTAACTGCTACAAAGAACTTCGCCATACCGATTGTGTTTGGAGGTGCAGACTATACCAAGTTCGTTTCTTTAAATAACGTTTACTATTCTACTATATCGTTGTTATTTGCGTATATACCTTTTAACAAAATTGGTTGTAATCATTGTAATAGGATGAAAGCAAACTACGACAAGTATCACCAGGAGCGGCGCTAGTACAAGCCGTGCGCCACCGCTGAGTTGAGTTGTGTTGAGCCCCTCAAGCCTCGAAAGTTTCTGTCGAAAGAACCCCGAGCCTACACGTATATGTACATATTTGGCATCACTTAGAAATAATTTTTCCAGTGATATGATGTCATGTTTATCTCACAGTACGATGAGCTTATCCTGTGGTAATCCTTTTTAAGGCTTCAATAAATTAATTCCGTCATTGAATAGGGTAAAACCGGGGTAGATGCCGCAGTGAGATAGGTGCCTCGTTT